AATGTACATATACCGGCATGTATCCTTATCACAGGTTAAGAGGAACGGTAGGTAAAAGATAAAACAATCCTTTCTTTTCCTCAAAGACAATGTCCTTCTTCATTGGCAGCTCATGATACACTTTGATGGGAATGAGCTCCAATAAATATGAATAAATGATGAATAAATAATAACAGTATGAAGGAAATAGTCCTCTAGGCTTATAGATAGTGCCATCTAGTGGTGAATCCTGGGATTGTTCTGACATTCCAATCCCTCTGTATAGATTCATCTACACTCATTGTATTATTAGTTCGTAAAAATCATATATAGCGTGTGATAGACTTATATCACCAATGGAATGGAATGAACATAACACGGATATAAAATCCATCAGTAATCATCTCCAGGCACTAGAAGTGCATATTGTAAATAAATCATCTTGACCTACTTTATTCAGAATAAAATGGATGGATAGCTCATCCATCAATCATATGAGGTAATGTTTGCCCCTAAAATCGGTCTTCAATAAAACACCCCATGAAATCAGTATTTCATCAATCCCCCATAAACTCCTAAAAATAGGTTCAATAAAAATGAATGTAATTCAGGTTAAAACTGAAAAAACCTTAAAATCAAACAAAAATGAGATAAAAACAGCGCAATTAAAACAATAGGAATAAAAAAATATAAAAATAAAATAGTAAATAAAATACTCCTATCATTCGGAATTCTGATGAAAGTGCCTCACACACTCCATAACCTCACTTCATAAAACAATAGAACCATAAGCCGGGGGGTGGTGTGTACTTCAGCTGGTATCTATAAAGCAATTGATATCTCGCTCGACATTCAATCCTTGTGGTGGTTGGGTGTGTAACTGGTAGATCCATTTGGTTTCTAACATTGAAACAGCTCTCTTTTTATGCGTACCTCTCCAGTTTTTGTTAATGATGTGGATACCTGTGAACTTCAATGTATGTGGATCCCTGTTATGACGTTGGCGAACGCGCATGGAAAGCGAATGCTCCTTAAAACCTTTTTTAATGTTTGATAGGTGCTCCCGCAACCTACCTCTAAGTCTCCTCGTCGTTCTCCCCACATATTGTTTTCCACATGTACATTCCAAGAGGTATACCACATGGGAGCTGTAACAGGTGATGGCCGATTGAATATCATAGATTTACCAGTCACATTAGAACTAAAGGTCTTCATAGGTTACACACATTATGGGACATCTCTTTCCTAGAGAGAAATATATGACAGAAGGGATGGTCCCCAGGTCACTCAGATGGGATGTACCACCTGGAACCGAAGATGTAAACAGTGAATCAGAGTGGTACCTCTTTTTCAACAACATGGGTTTAGACTTATTGAAGTTCCTCATTCTTAGAAAAAAGAAAAAATTGGCCCATTTAGATAAGGAGATCAATAAAACGCGGGAATTATTGGTTCCTTATATGGACAATGAGGATTACAAATCAGAGTCTGGAAAACTGAGACTCCTTTTGGAGAAAACAGATAAAGAACAAAAAATGAAGAAAAGGAAAAAGTACGTAAGAGACTATTATGATTACAAAGAAAAATCTGTATTGAAATGGGAAGCAAGTAATGATGAATTTGACACCCTGAGTAAGCCAGACTCTACGCCTACACAGGCTCATAATAATAACGGGACTAAGAATCCTCATCCAGGGAAGGTGTACCAAACCCAGAGACTCCCAGCAATAGACAAATGTCTCGTATAACACACCGAAATATGACTTCAATATAGCTACCGACAACAGATTTGAGGCATTAGAATATGATGAGGACCCCCGTATAGGGACTAGAGATATGAGAACACATCAACAATACTCCAACCAAGGACCCACCAACAGGCCTCAACAATATCAACCTAAAGGGGGTTTCCAACCTAAACCAAAGTTTAGGAATGAAGTATAGAACAATCAGACAAAAGGAGGGGATTTCTATAATACAAGACCCCATGAGGAACCGTGTGACAGACCCTATTTTAGGACTCCTTTAACTAGTTGCCGACCGCAGATAGCCGAATGACAGCTGCACTGCGGCCGGCCAGTTCTGAGTGGACGTCATATGACGGCCTCCCAGAACGCGCTCTCCTGCACGCCCCAGGGGGAGCGCACCCGGCGATCTCCATGATTGCTGTGTCCTATGGACACAGCTGATCACGTGATGTGGTAAAAGGCCGATCACAGCGGCCTTTTACCACGTGATCAGCGGTGTCCAATGACACGCTAATCAGAGGTAAATGCAAGTGCCGCTTCTCGGCTGCACTTTCCTCACACTGTCAGATCGTGAGGAAAGTACTGCCGAGAACCGGCAGTTGTCAGAGCGGGGATCGGCACCGATCATCAGGACACTGATGATCAGTGCCCTGATGATCGGTGCCCAGCAGTGCCACCCACAAGTTCCGCCCAGCAGTGCGACCACTAGCTCCGCCCACATGTGCCAGCAGATCACCCACCTGTGCCCAGCAGTGCACCCACCTGTGCCACTCTGCAGTGTCACACACCTGTGCCCACCCACCAGTGCTGCCCACCAGTGCCACCCACCAGTGCAGCCCAGCAGTGCTGCCAGTCAGTGCCACCAGTCAGTGCCCAGCAGTGATGCCAGTCAGTGCCGTCTATCAGTACCCATCATCAGTGTCACCTATCAGTGCCGCCTATCAGTGCTGCATATCAGTGCCGCCTATCCGTGCCACCTCATTAGTACTGCCTATCAGTGCCCTTTAGTGCTGCCCATCAGTGCCCATCAGTGCCGCCTATCAGTGCCCATCAGTGCTGCCTCATCAACGCACATCAGTGAAGGAGAAAAAATACCTGTTTGAAAAATTTTATAATAGAAACAAAGAAACGTTTTGTTTTTTTTTTCAAATTTTTTGCACTTTTTTAATTTATAGCGCAAAAAGTAAAGTGCCCAGCGGGGAGTAAATACCACCAAAAGAAAGCTCTATTTGTGAGAAAAAAATGATCAAAATTTCATATGGGTACAATGTTGCATGACCGCGCAATTGTCAATCAAAGTGCGGCAGCGCTGAAAGCTGAAAATTGGCCTGGTAAGGAAGGGGGTATAAGTGCCGGGTAGGTGAGGGGTTAAGAAACAGACAAAAAGATTTTGAGTATCAGACTTCTAATGGTACCTATTCAGACTCCGACATAACCAGCCGTCATCTTACTCCTATCATAATCCTGACTATAGAACTCCGAAAGGACAACCATACCACAACCATCAAAGCAGACCCAACCAGTATACTGCCCCCAACATCATCATTTTTAGGGAACGGCTCCGCAGAAAAAGAAGGCTAAGACAAGAGGAAAGCGAGGAGGAATCAGGATTAATAGACAAAAGGAGAAAAATGTAACAAACTCAATCATTTGTAACCTCAGCGGTCAAACCCTTACTGATAAAGAATTAGAACTTCTTAAATTCGCTCCCCCTGCAAAACTAAGCAAATTTAATACATTTATTGATATCCAGAAATTTACAAGAAAATTATCTCTGAAAAGATACTTTCTGACCAATCCAATAATCAGAGCACCTCCTAAGACAGACGCTACAGTTTTTAAAACTACAAATGTAAGGAATGCGTCACTTTTTAATCCACAGGCCCACTCTCAGCTAAATATTTTTACAAATATGGTCATCAAAGGACCTAGAAAAATTGAAAGTAAAAAAAATGGAACAATAAACCATACGATCGTAAGCAGATTGACCCCATGACTAAAGATCTGTTGGAAAATAAAAATCTGGTTATCCGACCTGCCGATAAGGGGGCGGCGTAGTTGTGATGAATAAAGTGGATTATCTGGCGCAAGTACAGAACATCCTTGATGATAAAGACACATATATAGAACTACAAAGAAACCCCCTTTTATCATACAAAAACATTCTGAAGACTCTAATTAAAAAAGGATCAGATTTGGGTATTCTAAAGAAAAAAGAAAAAGATTACCTATGCCCTACGGCCCCCAGGCTTCCCATACTCTACTGTTTACGTAAGACCCATAAGGACCCCATTAACCCTCCCGGCCGCCCGATAGTAAGTGGAATAGGTTCTCTGTGTTCCCGTATTGGGGAATATCTAGACCTTCGGTTTGTAAAACACCATCTTTCCTCAAAGATTCGAAGCCGGTATTGATGGACAGAGATCCACCTGAGTAAACACACCTTCCTAGTCACAGCGGATGTGTCCGCATTGTACAGTAATATAAAGCATGAGGATGGTTTGAGTGCTGCGGAGTTTTATCTTAACCCCTCACCTACAGGGCACTTCTACCCCCTTCCTGCCTACAGGGCACTTCTACCCCCTTCCTTACCAGGCCAATTTTCAGCTTTCAGCGCTGCCGCACTTTGATTGACAATTGCGCGGTCATGCAACATTGTACCCATATGAAATTTTGATCATTTTTTTCTCACAAATAGAGCTTTCCTTTGGTGGTATTTAATCGCCACGGGGCACTTTACTTTTTGCGCTATAAATTAAAAAAGAGCAAAAAATTTGAAAAAAAAAAAAAAAAAAGTTTTTGTTTCTATTATAAAATTTTTCAAACAGGTATTTTTTTCTCCTTCACTGATGTGCATTGATGAGGCAGCACTGATGGGCACTGATAGGCAGCACTAAAGGGCACTGATAGGCAGTACTAATGAGGTGTCACGGATAGGCGGCACTAATATGCAGCACTGATAGGCGGCACTGATAGGTGACACTGATTATGGGTACTGATAGATGGCACTGACTGGCATCACTGCTGGGCACTGACTGGTGGCACTGACTGGCAGCACTGCTGGGCTGCACTGGTGGGTGGCACTGGTGGGCAGCACTGGTGGGTGGGCACAGGTGGGTGGCACTGGTGGGCACAGGTGGGTGGGCACAGGTGGGTGGCACTGCTGGGCACAGGTAGGTGGCACTTCTGGGCATAGGTGTGTGACACTGCAGAGTGGCACAGGTGGGTGCACTGCTGGGCACAGGTGGGTGCACTGCTGGGCACAGGTGGGTGCACTGCTGGACACTGGTGGGCACATGTAGGTGGCACTTCTGGGCACAGGTAGGTGGCACTGCAGAGTGGCACAGGTGGGGGCACTGCTGGGCACAGGTGGGTGCACTGCTGGGCACTGGTGGGCGGAGCTAGTGGGCGCACTGCTGGGCACAGGTGGGCGGAACTTGTGGGTGGCACTGCTGGGCACCGATCATCAGGGCACTGATCATCAGTGCCCTGATGATCGGTGCCGATCCCCGCTCTGACAACTGCCGGTTCTCGGCAGTACTTTCCTCACGATCTGACAGCGTGAGGAAAGTGCAGCCGAGAACCGGCACTTGCATTTCCCTCTGATCAGCGTGTCATTGGACACCGCTGATCATGTGGTAAAAGGCCGCTGTGATCGGCCTTTTACCACATCTCGTGATCAGCTGTGTCCGTAGGACAGCGATCACGGAGATCGCCGGGTGCACACCCCCTGGGGCGCGCAGGAGAGTGCGTTCTGGGGGGACGTCATATGACGTCCACCCAGAACTGGCCGGCCGCAGTGAAGCTGTCATTCGGCTATCTGCGGTCGGCAACTAGTTAATGAAGCCATCAACATACCACACTCCCAGAAACTATATTTACTAAAATGATTGGAATTTGCCATGAAGCACAACTACTTCTGGTTTCATGATAGATATTACTTGCAGTTGACCGGAGTTGCCATGGGCGCCAAGTTTAGAACCTCTTTATGTCAAGATGGGGAGAGGATATAATATATTCGAGAGATTGGCCCCATCTACTTTTTTATCGAAGGTTCATAGACGACATCCTACTACTTTGGGAGGGCGATGAATTCACGTTAAATAATTCTTTCACCACCCTGAATTATAATAGCCGGAATATTAAACTTACTCTTCAGCATAGTAACCGGGAGATCAATTTCTTAGATTTGACTTTATGTAATAATGGGACATACATCTCTACCAAAACATTCTATAAATGACCGATAGGAACAGCTACATTCCTAAAGATAGCTGCCACCTACCGAGATGGCTAGAAAACATACCGAGGGGCCGATTTCTCCGCATTCTGAGAAGCTGTACGGAATTAGAGGAGTATAGAACTCAAAGGAAGATTCATTGACAAGGGCTTTGATACAAATGTTCTGGAAAGAGAAATCAATAAAGTGCTAATATACTAAATAACACTGATAGATAAATAAATAAATACTATTGTCCAAAAATTATATTGTCCACAATAAAAAATAAAATCAAATAAAATCAACAGGATAAACAAAAATCCTCCAGAAAGACAGTCCGCAAAAAGGCTTCCAGCCGAATGAAGATCCAGTGATTATGGAGATCGAACCTCAAAAAGAGAGAACTCACATAGTGTGATACCATAAACACGCATCAGGTAATATCAACATCACTGCAAACGCATGTGAATCCCACTAAACCACACGTGGTGACCCATGCAGGTGAGTATAATGTGCGCTGTGCCAACCGCTATAAACACTCTCATGCCGTGTGCAAACCGTGTAAACACGTGTCCACTTCTAAGTGTAGGGATAAAACACGCTTACCAGAACATGGATAGAACACGCATGTAAGTCCCAATCCAAAAACGGCTTTTCAAACTTAGCAAGTGGGAAATTCCTCCTCCATTACCATACAGATTCCCTCCGAAGCTGAGCAGATTATACTGATAAAGTTCATGTAAAGCCTCATCCGGTCACGTCCTCAATGACTCCGGATAATGCCGCCACAAACAGCAATAGGAAGCTCTTCAATACCACATACATTTTATTGCATAAATGTCACATCATATTAAAACTACGAACAGACCCTCCATAGATCCTCAGGAACACTCCTCCTGTGTCTCTGAATGGAATTTCCAGGATCCAAGATGGCCGACCGGCAACTTCCTGTTGTTCAATACGTCTTGGCGTCACTTCCCTTTGACATGTTTCGTCACCTGACTTATTCACTTATATATATTTGGATGATACACTTCTTGGGGTGAAAAGTGTTTAGGTGCAATTGGGGAAATATTTAAAGGGTACACCGTTCATTATTTGTTAAATCAATAAAGTGGCCAATGTAGACAGAACGAACCTCCTGACTTCCAAAAACAAAGTTCAAACAGGGAGGAGCTGTCCCTTCATTACCAACTTCTCGACACAACATAAACAAGTAGCCAAGATTACACTGTACAACAAATTTTTATTTTTTGCCAGTTTTGGAAACAAAAGGATCCATTTCTTAATGAATTTCACATTCTGAGTTCAAATATAACAATGAAATTTGTCAATTGGCTCTAGTTTTTCTGTAAACGGAAAGTTTTCTACTATAGGCGTAATGACTACATAATGCACAATAATTATATAGATAGATGTCTTTCCACAAATATACAGCAAGTGATATGACTACATAACAAAGCCTAAATGACATAATATATTGCATAGGATTACCAAGAACAATGATAGCCATAAGCTAAGTTGAATCATTTTAATACTTAGGATTCTCACTAGTTTTGTCTTCAGTTTGTGTCGGTTTTGCTTCTCTTGGCTTTTCTCTTGTATTCGAGGAAAGGGCTATCTCTTACAACTGTCCAGCAATAGTCAGCAAGCATTGATGGGCTCCATTTACCTTGATATCTTCTTTCCATAGCTGCAATGTCTTGATGGAAGCGCTCTCCGTGTTCATCACTCACTGCTCCACAGTTTGGTGGGAAAAAATCCAGATGCGAATGTAGAAAATGAATTTTTAGAAACATGTTGCAACCCAGATTTCTGTAAGTCTGGATGAGTTTTTCTACCACTTTCTTGTAGTCTGGTGTTTTATTGTTTCCAAGAAAATTTGATGTCACTGATACAAATGCTGTCCAGGCAGCCTTTTCCTTTCCACGCAACAGAGAAAGAAACTCATCATCATGAATACGTTTACGAATCTGTGGCCCTACAAAGACTCCTTTATTTATTTTTGCAGCACTAAGTGCTGGAAATTTGCTAATCAGGTACTTGAAACCTGCTTTATTCTTGTCCATTGCCTTAACAAAGTTCTTCATTAATCCCAACTTGATGTGTAATGGAGGTAATAAGATCTTATTGCTGTCTACAAGTGCTGGATAGTTAACATTTTTTTCTCCAGGCTGCAATGACTGGCGTAATGGCCAGTCTCTTTTGGCATAGTGCATTTCTCTCGCACGACTGTCCCACTCACAGAGGAAGCAGCAGTACTTAGTATATCCACCTTGAAGTCCAAGTAGGATAGCAATCACCTTCAGGTCACCACAAATACACCATTGATGTTCATCATAGTTGATGCACCTTAAAAGCTCTTTCAAGTTTTCATACGTTTCTTTCATTGAAACTGCGTAAGCAACTGGAACTGACGGCAGCTGATTGCCATTATGGAGTAAAACAGCTTTAAGACTCGCCTTTGAAGCATCAATGAACAGCCTCCACTCATCGGGATCATAGCATACGCCGATGGCTGAGATTAAACCATGAACATTGTTACATACAGCAATATCACCTTCCTGGACGAAGAATGGGATCAGATCTTTCCGACGATGACGGTAGAAAGACGTACGAACATCACTTGCTAGGAGATTCCACTGTTGTAGTCTTGACCCCAAAAGCTCTGCCTTGTTCTTGGGAAGATCCAGGTCTCTGATAAGATCGCTCAATTCCACTTGTGTAATGAGGTGTGGTTCAGTGGGTGTGGATGGAAGAAAGTCTGGGTCATGTGAGGTTGACGGTTGATGACTACACGCTTCAGGTTCTTCCTCACTTGACTCAACCACGAAGGATTCTGGTGCTTTAGGAATTGGTAGCCCCTCTCCATGAGGAACTGGACGTATTGCCGATGGAATATTTGGATAGTGCACAGATAACTTTTTCTTCTTATTTAGCCCTTTTGTTGGAGGCACCATACAAAAGTAACAATTACTAACATGATCTGTTGGCTCTCTCCAAATCATTGGCACAGCGAAAGGCATAGATGCCTTTTTTCCCATTCAACCATTGCTCCAGTGCCGTCCCACAAGAATTGCAGCATATATGTGGTGCCCAGCTCTTGTCCTGGTCTCCTATCTTGCAGCCAAAATACAAGTTGTAGGCTTTCTTAATCATTCCTGTTATCCTCCTTTTTTGTGAGATAAAAGTTATTTCACCGCAGATATAGCAGAAATTATCTGCTTTATTCACACAAGTTCGAGGCATTACTGAGTAGCCTATATAAGCAGAAAACGAAATGTAAAGACGAACTCCAATCAGCTACAGATACTGCAGCTTTTATGCAGTGAAGTGATGCAATTAAAGGCTAATATTGCATCATCTCAGTATACATGACATTTTCTATTGGTCACCAGTATCAATTGCACAATATGCAGCTGAAGTTGCATCATAATTTTGAATGGCTTACGTCATTAGATGGGTGAATATATCATGGAAACTAGAGCCAATCAACATTTTTTAGGGTCATTTTCGTTTTCAGCACCCCAAAATTATGTAAAGATAGCTAATTTTATGCCCAAAACTTTTTACCTGTTGAACAGTGTTATTAGAAAGAATTGGAACATTCTAAAAACTGACCCAGTATTGGGTGACACCTTACCGGATTTACCGGAAATGACTTACCGCAGAGCGCTAACACTAAGAAACAGGTTGGCTCCTAATATAGTTACCCCTCCTAAACACCGAACGTTCAGTTTCCTCAACACCAACACCAAAGGTTTCTTTCCATGCAATAGATGTATGTTATGCGTCTTTAACGGCAAACATAAAAACCTATAAAGACCTTTAGTTCTAATGTGACTGGTAAATCTTCTGATATTCAATCGGCCATCACCTGTTACAGCTCCCATGTGGTATACCTCTTGGAATGTACATGTGGAAAACAATATGTGGGGAGAACGACGAGGAGACTTAGAGGTAGGTTGCGGGAGCACCTATCAAACATTAAAAGAGGTGTTAAGGAGCATTTGCTTTCCATGCGCGTTCGCCAACGTCATAACAGGGATCCACATACATTGAAGTTCACAGGTATCCACATCATTAACAAAAACTGGAGAGGTACGCATAAAAAGAGAGCTGTTTCAATGTTAGAAACCAAATGGATCTACCAGTTACACACCCAACCACCACAAGGATTGAATGTCGAGCGAGATATCAATTGCTTTATAGATACCAGCTGAAGTACACACCACCCCGGCTTATGGTTCTATTGTTTTATGAAGTGAGGTCATGGAGTGTGTGAGGCACTTTCATTAGAATTCCGAATGATAGGAGTATTTTATTTACTATTTTATTTTTTATTTTTTTTATTCCTATTGTTTTAATTGCGCTGTTTTTATCTCATTTTTGTTTGATTTTAAGTTTTTTCAGTTTTAACCTGAATGACATTCATTTTTATTGAACCTATTTTTAGGAGTTTATGGGGGATTGACGAAATACTGATTTCATGGGGTGTT